TAATAATCAATCAAAAAGTATATTATAAACCATAGGAGTAAATTAGTCTTCCCTAACAGAAACAAAACGAATTTAGTTCATAGTCATGATAAAAACAAACTCATAAGCAGATTTAACTAAGCTAAACATACTTAATTCCTAAAGCTAAGTGGAATGATTAACCTAATTTCCTTGATTCTTCCAAGGATTGAAGACTAGGGTTCCTTAGCTCCTCCAAGGGTTCTTTTTCGCAGGTTTAGCTCTCAAAATTGCCAAAAGTGTTTTCCAATCGGATAATAGTTTGGTATTTACAATTATCTCAAAATAGGTTGTACTCGGCGAGTAGCAGACCCAACTCGCCGAGTAGATGCTAGTTAGCCATCTCATACTAGGAGTCTTGACTTATCTTCTGGAATATTCTAATGTACTCGCCGAGTAGGCTCGAGAACTTGCCAAGTAGGAAGGCTTTTTTTCCCTCATTGTTCATTCTTTGGTCTCTAATTGCTTCCCCTTGTTCCCTTTTATTCCCAAGCATGTCTTTTGGACTAAAAACAAAATTTAAACATTATTAAGTACCTTTTTTCCACATTATACACATATTTAGTTAAAATGAATAAAAATGTATGCTAAAAAATTAACTAATTATGCACATATCACATGCATTACCAAAGTATATGACACAAGCGCGGAGCATATCTTCCAGAGTTTGTATTGTGCTTTCGCTCTGGCCATCCGTTTGAGGATGATATGCTGTACTCATGCCGAGTTTTGTGCCTAGGGACCTTTTCAGTGATTGCCAAAATTTGGAAGTGAATCTACTATCTCAGTCCGAGATGATAGATATTGGTCCACCGTGTAGTCTGACTATCACCTTGAGATAAGTTCTGGTGAGTTTTTCCATCTTATCAGTTTCCTTGATGGCTAAGAAGTGAGCGGACTTGGTCAAATGGTCAACCACTACCCATATGGTATCGTAACCGCTTGATGTATTGGGAAACTTTGTTATAAAGTCTATTGTTATTTGTTCCCACTTCCATTCTGGAATTGATGGTTGTTGTAGCAGGCCAGATGGCTTCTGGTACTCCGCCTTGACCTTGGAGCAAGTCAAACACTTACCGATATATGTGGCAATTTCTGCCTTCATATTGGGCCACCAATAATGCTTCTTCAGATCGAGATACATCTTGTCTGATCCGGGATGTATTGAGTATCTTGACTTGTGAGCTTCGTTTAAAACCAAATCTATGACTTCTCCAAATCTTGGAGTCCGAATTCAGTTCATGAAGTATTGTGTTCCATCATCTCTTAGGTCGAACTGTTTGTCTATGCCTCATAGGTTTTCTTCCATAATGTTCTCAGGTATAAGTGCTTCTAACTGAGCATCACAAATTTGAATAGTGAGGTTCGAGTGAATGGTTTAGGTTAGAGCCTTTACACGAAGAAGTTTTTCTCGTTCCTTCCTGCTTAAAGCATCAACCACAATGTTTGCTCTATCGGGATGATAATGAATTTCGCATTCATAATCATTTAGTAATTCGACCCATCTTCATTGTCTCATATTGAGCTCTTTTTGATAAAAAAATGTGTTGAAGGCTCTTGTGGTCTGTGAATACAATGCATTTTGTCCCGTATATATAGTGTCTCCAAATCTTCAAGGCAAATACTACGGCTCCCAACTCTAAGTCATGGGTAGTGTAGTTCGTCTCATTTGGCTTCAGTTGTCGGGATGCATATGCAATAACCTTATTCCTCTGCATGAGTACACACCCTAACCCTTGACGTGAAGCATCACAATATACTACAAAGTCTTCTGTTCCCTCGGGAAGAGACAAAATTGGTGCACTGCATAACAATTGCTTCAATTTTCGGAAGCGCGGACTCTTGACTGTCTCCCCAGTCGAACTTTTTGTCTTTCTGGGTTAATGCGGTGAGAGTCATGGCTATTTCAGAGAAGTTCTTGATAAATCTCCGATAATAGCCTGCAAGCCCTAAGAACTGGCGTACTTCGGTTGGTGTTGTTGGTGCTTTCCAATTCTTGACAACTTCAATCTTCGCAGGATCGACATGAATCCCTTTACTGCTGACCACATGACCGAGGAAATGGACTTCGTTAATCCAGAACTCACACTTAGAAAACTTTGCATAAAGTTTTTATTTTCTTAGCAGTTCTAGGATTAAACGCAAGTGTTGGCCATGTTCTTCCTTGGTTCGTGAGTATATTAATATGTCATCGATGAATACAATCACGAATTTGTCCAAGTAGGGTTTACACACCCGATTCATAAGGTCCATGAATATGGTAGGTGCATTGGTCAGTCCAAATGGCATCACTAGAAACTCATAGTGACCGTATCTGGTTCGGAATGCCGTATTTGGAATATCTACTTCTTTAACTCTAATTTGATGATAGTCGGATCGTAGGTCGATCTTTGAGTAGTAGCAGGATCCTTGTAATTGGTCGAACAGGTCATCGATCCTCGGGAGTGGATACCAATTTTTGATAGTGAGCTTATTCAACTCTCGGTAATCGATGCACATCCTAAATGAACCATCCTTCTTTTTGAAAAAAAATATCGGGGCTCCCCATGGAGAGAAGCTTGGTTGGATAAAGCCTTTGTTGAAAAGTTCTTGATGTTGACTGGATAGTTCTTGTATATTCGATGGAGCCAGGCGATAAGGAGACCGTGCCATTGGTGCTGCACCCGAGATAAGGTCGATTCGAAATTCAACCTATCTGATAGGAGGTACTCCAGGTAGGTCTTCTGGAAATACTTCTGGGTAGTCACACACTTGTTGTATGTCTTTGATTTCCTTACCCATGCCTTGCGTATTTACCATGTGGGCCAAGAAAGCGTAGCATCTCTTCTGCAAATACTTCCTTGCCTTCACGCAAGTAATGACTCGTAGGTTCTTCCCTGCCTTGTCTCCATAAATCACAAGGGCTTCATCGTTTGGTAAGGGTAATCATACAACTTTTTCATAACATAGAATCTCCGCTCGATGGGCTGATAACCAATCCATTCTGATGATTACATCGAAACTTCCAATGGTTATGGGCATTAAGTCGACAGGGAACACGTGATTATTCAGGGTGAGAAGGCAGTTGGTGAGTATTTCTAAGGTGCTTTCTATTTGACCATTGGCTACTTCTACCTTGTAAGCATTATTGAGTTTGCATGATTCATGATTAATCATTTTTCGAAATTTGTGGGAAATAAAACTCTTATCAGCACCAATGTCAAATAATACAGAGGCATAAATATTGTTGATAGGAAACGTACCAGTAACCACAGTAGGTTGCTGGCGTGCGTCTCCTGCACCTATCACAAACGCCCTTCCTTGACCACTCTGTCTCTTCAGCTTAGGACAATCTTTCCTGAAATCTCCCGTTGGTTGCACTCGAAGTAGGTTCAACTTTCTCTTACGGTAGTAGTTGAGGGTTTGTTGATTGGGTTCTTTTTGCAAAATTTGGCGGTATGACCGCTTAATTTACAGTTGCTATAGATCATGCAGTCTCCAACATGATGATAATTGCACTTATGGTAGCGAGGTAGAGTTCCAGCGTAGGGCTTTACTGGAGTGGGAGTGGTTGTGACTACAACATACACCGTTGCAGGCTGTGGGTTTCGCTTACGTTGTTTGAAGTTCCCTTTTGGCTTCCCCTGGAACTTTCTCTTAGAATTCCCAGTTTGGTTCTTTTCTTTTACGGGGGCCATGGTGCCTCGTCAGATACATTGTTCAATCAACTCATAAGCCAGTTTCTTGGCACTGTCAAAAGTTGAGGGTCTGGATGCAATAACCAGACCTTGGACTGGCGATGCTAATCCCCAAATGTATCTCTCCGTCTTCTTGTATTCTGAAGGCACCATTCCGAGACAAAGAGTTGCAAGGTCTTTGAATTGGGAGGTATAAGCAGCTACCTTTGATCCTTGCATGGTTAGGTTACATAGTTCTTGTTCTAATTCCTGAATCTCCTAGCGTAGGCAATACACCTTCGTCATCATTAGTTTTAGCTATTCCCATCCCATGGAATAGGCTTCCGCAATTCCCACGGTCTTGGCATGGTTGTTCCACCAAGTTAAGGGAACATCCATCAGTGTGCAAGTAGCGTACTTAACCCTGCAGTTATCGGGGCAAGAGCTGATGTGAAAGACAACTTCAATCTTTTCTATCCATCGGGATAGACCAACAGCTCCTTCAGTTCCGTAGAAGGATCGAGGTTTACAACCCATGAATTCTTTGTATGAGCAGTGTTTGGGATTTCTTTGGGCAACTACAGGAGTACCACTTCCACTATTTCCAGTATTCCCATTTCGAGCAGCCTCATAAGTCGCCAAGGCCATAGCAATCCCTTGTGCAAGCATGTTTTGCATCATAGTGGGATCCATCTAGAAATTTGTTGGTTATTTGTAGCACTTGGGGCTTCTTACGTGTCTGGAGTTTCTTCTGTTGTTTGAGTTATTTCTGGAACACTTCTCCTGTTAGTTCAGGGAGTCGGTGGGGATGAACTCGTGGTTCTTTTCATCGAGGCATTATCCTAATACGTTAGATAAGTAAGTTAAGTTGTTTTTAAACCATATAGTTATAATATGTGTGTATTTTGTATTTGTTCAATTTGTTTTTCTTTCGAAATCATACAGATTTTAAACTCAAAAATGAAAGCTTTACCTGATATAGAGTTGTGCAAGCAACACATAATAAATACAAACATTTAACAAAATACTGAAACATTGTCATAAGAACTGCTTGTTTTGGTTACAAAGTTTTAACCATATAAGGTTAGAAATAGAAAAGCGTTTCAAAAGATCTATTACAAATCAAGCAGTGATAAACACTTGCAACATAAAAGCTATTCCTCAAAAGTCCTAACCTTATCCTACGACACAAGCTGTCCTAGATATCTACCTCCCAAATCGAGTCATCACATAGAGGACAAAGTCCTCGAACTGGTCCAAGATGTAGCATCGATGCACAGAGATAACCAACTGATTTCGCTGCGCAACAAGCTCGCTCTCCATGATCTAAATCCGATATTTCTGTGCTCTAACCTGAGCACTCAAGGCATTCACTGCATCATGATCAGCACCCGAGAGATGATATAATATCTGGATCGCATCAGAATTCTCCTTCTCCTCTTCCTCGAGTGTCTCAACTCGATGGTCAAGGGAAATAGAGCCTGGACCTCTCATAAACTACTCCAAGGATCTAATCATATCCTCGGTCTGATCAGTCTGAGTCATCAAGCGAGGTATCGAATCATCTTCAGGATTAAACCTGAGTGGTGCTCGTTAAGATTCACCAACCTTAAACCATGGTGGTAGATCAGTAGCATCCCTCCTGCAAAGGAGGTCTGCGAGCCAAGATGGCTCACTGGGTCGAGTTTGTTTCCCTAATAGACCACTAGTGGGTCGGGAAACCTGAGCAACTGGGTCCAAGTCGTAAATAGGAGATATAGTAGTACCTGGGGTCCTCATCATACAAGGCCCCTTGCCGCGCAGACGGTACGACTGGTAGTAGGGTCTCGGTGGTGAGACTGGTGGGGTAAGGGGAGTAGGTTCCTCTTTGGAGAGGTCTCCCTCATCCTCCGTAGGACGATCATCATCAGTCTCTTGGGTATCCTGCAATATGCCTTCATCCTCGAGCTCCTCCTCATCGGGGTCCTCCTCAGGATCCTTTTCGGGATCCTCCTCAGGATCCTCTTCGGGATCCTCCTCCTTAAGAGCGTCTAGGGGAAAGTACGGATCCCCAGCTAAGTGTAGTGGAGGTGGATGCAAAGGAATTCCAAATGGCTCATCAGGATCCTCAAGTCGAAACCATTCATCGGGGTTATCCGGTAGTCCATCCATCTACATAAAAGGGTTTCAAGCGGGTTAGTAAATTTGTATAAGTTTTTCATAAGTGTTTTAAGGTTGATAAAAGGATTCTAAGGTAGTAAGCTTCAGCAACGAATCTTGTGGACATTCTTCAACTTCTAAAACTCTCAACCGTTGTAGCCTGTCAAACTCCTTACTCAAGGTTGGTTGTGCATCGGCCCGACCATAAATAACATAGGCGCGCATTCTAGGTTTATTTGTGGTATGGCTTATGTACGATACTAACCTTTAATTGAGGCGTTTGACCTAAAGGGTTGAGTTGGTAGTTTTAGTTGAAGGGATGTTTAACTTTTTATTTTATTTTATTTTAGTGTTCTAATTGCGGGTCAGCGTATATATATATATATATATATATATATATATATATATATATATATATATAAACTCTTATATATTAAGGTTGGTGGGGTTTGTAGTATTGTTAATTTTTGTTTTGTACTTCCCAACTACCATACTGTAGGTAGTCAAGAAGTAGTTTTATTATAAATAATACTTTTATTAGAAGCTAGTTGCTATAGTTGTATTCCTCTTTCGAGGATACGAGTTCTTTATAGTCAATTTAGCTCTGATACCAATCTGTCACACCCTTGGCTGAGGCGGCGGAACATGCCGGGCTGTGCGACTAAGTTCATGGATCACAGATAAATTAAATATACAACACAAGTACAACAATAAACAAAACAACATTTCATTGCATATTTATGTTTTCATACAAGGTTCTTACAGATAGTAATAAAATAATAATACGAGTTTGCCTTAACAGTTAGGCATAACAGTTCAAAAGTAGAAAATTAAAGTACTTGCGAGCCATGTTTTCCATCGTCTGAGAGTGCCCGAAATTTGACTGAGTTCCTGAGAAATGATACTTTAATTTGACTAAGTTCCATCGTCACAGGTTTTCTGCTAGCTGCAGTAATGATACTTTCAAAAGTCATAAAGTATTTTTCTTGTATAACAATAGTTGAAGCAATGCTTGTCATGAGTCTTTAAAAGCCAAAAAGTATTTTTATAAATAAATTCATGCTTTTAAAGAAAACGTGATTGTAATAACTTCATGAAAATTTAAATATATTCATTGTATAAGTAACCACTATACTTAAAAATAGTTCTGACAGCATCCAAATCTATGGTTGTAATGAAAAAGTGAGAGAGATTCGTGTTCATGTTTTTAGTGAGTTCTATAATCGAGCTATGGATGAAAAGTACCCCTCCCTACAACGCTTCATTGGACGTCGTAGTAACGATCGTAGACACATATCACCTGCTTCGATTGATCAGTCGATGGTTGTAACTAGCAACCCCAGGTGGGGTTGTCAACCCCATATATATATATATATATATATATATATATATATATATATATATATATATATATATATATATATATATATATAGCAGTGTGGGGCAGGCTAAGTGATTAAACTCAGCTAATGAATAGTAGCGTCTCACTTAAAAACTATTAACGAAAAGTTTGTGAATAACTCTCAGCCCTAACTTAATTATAGATAAGTACCGAGCATAATGAATTTCGTAGTATAGTATTTGTAAAGTCGAGTATGGTTGATGTATTTATAAAAGTATAAATTACTCGCTCTTATAGAGATATGTATTTTAACATAATGATCTTGTACAAGTGTGTAATGCCTTATGCATGATAGTATTCAACTATGGAAGTCTTTATAACTTTTAAAATTGTGGCATGCATATCATATAAGACATATGTATTTGCATAATAAATACTATTTAGCACATGTATTCTCCCCCAAGAATAAATAAAATATTGAAAAGGGGCCGTAACTCTCACCTTATCGAGTGGTTAACGAGTAGTTCTGAAAGTCGAGATGTGTTGTCGAGAGGTCGTGATTTCCGGGATAAATCCAATTTCCTAGAAATATTTGTTATAAATCAATATTTTGTAGAGATTGGGTATCTGAACTAGTATAATGATTTATAATTTTTCTAAATGTTTATTATCTCAAAATTTATTTAAATAATCCATTTAAATAAAATTTTCTAAAAATTTAGTTTATTATTTTCCCAAATTATTTAAATAAATCCCAAAAATTTATTTAAATCAAAATACAATTTTATAATTTAAGATTTAACAACAATAAAATATAAAAATGTATATATATGTAAAAACAAATGAATTTATGAAATTTCTATTTTAACATTTTGAGCTTCTATTAAAGGAGTTTTCAAAATTTGGGTAGATTGTGAATATTTCAAATGTATGTTTAGGACTTAGGACCTAGTTTAAAAACAGTTTTTGGGAGTAAGGGGTTGAATCTGGACAATATCATACTTGGGGGACTGTATGTGGCAAAATCGCATGCATGTTTGTGTATCTGATTCATAAACAGTAGGGAAACCTCCTGTTCGTCTTCTTCGTTTTCGTGATACACCGAATGCACAACCAAAATATATACAGTGGTCCTTGATTTGTTTAACTTAATGAGAACAAAAGATAAATAAAAGGGAGGGTGGAGATGACTCACAGAGGTGGAGCAGCAGCAGAAACCGGCGATTCTTGTGTTGGTTGTGAGCTGCGACAAGGGGTTGACGAAGGTGGTAGTTCGGTGCTGCTACCTTCGTTCTTCTTTCTTTCAACGGTATTTCGATGCAGGAATTGTGGAGAAGCTTTTGGGGATCGAAATTAATAGCAATGACATCTTAGGGATGAAGTTCTTGGGTGGTGGAAGTGGGTGTTTGAAGGTTGTAGTAGGTGATGGGTGATGGTCGGAAGGAGGGTGATTCGGTGGTTGCAGGAGGTTACTCCAGTGGCCTTCTGATGCTTCTTTCTTGCTTATTTCAATAGGAAAGACCAAAAAGGAGGAGGGAGGGGGCCGTGGTGATTGAAAACAACAACAGGAATGGGTTGGGGAGGTGATCTATGGTGGTGATGTTGTAACTGTGAGAGAGGGAATTGAGAGAGAAGAAGAAGCTGATGAATTTGAGTGAGTTTATGAGGCTTCTCGTGCCTCTTTTTATAGGAAAAAATCATACTCACACCACTTTGAGTCCATACTCTTACACCCCTTACTTGTACTCTCTTGGTGATTCTTGCACACAAAGGAGAAGAGAGTAGGAAGGAATGCACGTGGGTTTGATACCAGCTGGAAGATCAGGTTTTTGGAACTTATCATCCCATGTGGGCCCCACATGGGTTATGCTCCATTACACACACAAAATACACCCAAAACCGGGTGCCTCGGGATTCATGCATTGGGGATTTTTTTTCAAAAGCATCGTTAAATAGAGTATAATTCAAGAATTCGAAAACCTCAAACAGATTAATTTTTGGAGTTACGGATCTCCGGGAATTTGCGTCTGAAGTTTCGCGTCTTAATGGCTCGCGGCGTCCGTTTTTGCGACTTTTGTAAATATTTTCTTAAAAATTATTTCAAGTGTGAAATTAAATAATATACTATATCCTGATTCCAAAAAAACGCTCTCGGAAATCCCGTCAGCAAAGCGTACGTGCCTCAACGGATCGTTTTGGTTTATGTGATTAAAGAAAACAGTGTTTTACTGTCCGTTTTTCTTATAACGGTTGTATCTTTTGCATACGAACTCCATTTTGGATGTTCTTTATATTTTCGGAAATAGGGGAACATGTACTATCATATTTTAATGTTTGTTTTGCTCAAAATTGATTAATGTTAAATTTCAGTTTTCAGACGCATTAGTCAGCGCTCTAGTTGAGCGATTTGATTTGATTACTAGTTTACACGTTTGGGCATAAAAATATCACTAGATATTACATAATAATTGAAATTAACTCATTTATATTTTATTAGATGCAATGAAAGCTGAATGAGTTAAGTACAAATAGATTTTTCGTAATTTAGTCGTTTGAAATCTATGCCCTAAATTCCAAGATGTCACAAAACATGACGTCCTCCACCCCAGAAAGTTTCCACCGTTCCGATTTTGGGGTGTGACACACTAAGCTTTCAAGAGTCAAGGTAGTTCTTGTTATTACTACATAACAAGTGATGTAATGATCAAACCCTAGTTTCATACATGATTTCGAAAATTATATGCTAGCCAATAGGGTTATTGCTTTGGTGTTCATATTTGTATGTTCAATAGAGAAAAAGTTATATTCAAAGCAATTAGGGTTGCATGATCAGATAGGAATATGGATATGCTCATAACCTATCAGTGGTATCAGAGCCTATGACGTTTTTCAATTAAATTGATGCAAGAGTGAACTACCAAAAGAATAAGAAATTGAAAATTTTTTCTTGGCCAAAGCTGAAACTCGACGAGTTCATCATGAACTCGACGGGTTGGATGAACTCGACGAGTTCAGAATCCAACTCGATGAGTTGACTTGTCAGTTTCCTGATTTTTCGATTTTTTTATTAGATTCTGATTTGAATAATTACCATAATTATTTTTATTGCCTAAACTCGAATTTTATGTTTGGTATCATCATATCCTTACCAAAATTAAAGATTTGGTTAAATTTTGATAATATAAGATTATTTTGATACATAGATTTAACCTAGTAGTTTTAAATAGTTTCAAATTGCACCCCCTTTTGGTTTTATAGTTTTAATTTGAAATTAAAAGTTTTGATTCAAGAAATTTAAATAGTTAAACCCTCACATTTTAAATAGTTTAAAATACACCCTCATAGATTTTATTAATATGATTAATTAAGTATTTAATTAAGAAGAGAATTAATATATCCATAATATGGTTTAGATTTAACTGAATTAAAAGTTCAGTTTATTATAGGATTAAACTACTTAGTATTTTAAAAGTTTAAAATACATCCTTATGCTATATAAGATTAAAAGTTTATATATATATATATATATATATATATATATATATATATATATATATATATATATATATATAATTCAGTCTTATAGTTAGTACGCATCATTCACGAAGTTGGTCTATAAGGGTCGTTAGCCGAACGGGTAGGATAGGACACAAAGTCCTCATTAAAAGTA